AGGTGGAGTAGAGTCAGAAGACCCAGTTTTGAGGGACCAGGACTGGGCGTGCCCTGCCAGAACCTCCTCCAGCATAACCCAACAGCTGCCCTGCGGGTCCAGGGGGGCCAAAGGGCTGAGTTTTGGGCAGAGGATTGTGGGCGGAAGTGATGTCAGCCGGGCACGCATCCGCCCTCCAACCCCCACGTGGCCCCGGGCTGCGGACGACATGTTGTAGATGCAGAACAAGAGGAAGAGGCGGCTTATGCAACCCACGTCAGGGGACTGAGCAAAGGAGAGGCCATGAGGCCTCCAGCCTTTGAGCCGTCAGAGCTGGTGCTCCCAGCCAGCCTATCCTGATCATTCCAGTACTAAGTAGGCGGGGAGAGGCCTCCTCACTTCCCGTGTTTGTCCAAGACTGTGTGCCCGAGTAGGCATTGCTTTGAGTCGCTGTTGAGACTCTGTCAGATGATTAAATGTCACCTTATCGGAGGCTATGCTGTTGGAGGGCAACGGAGGGAGGGGGGAGGTGACTGGGAACTGGGGTGCCCTGAAGAGCAGGAGGACGGGGCCAGGCATCAGCAACTAGGGAGTTCCAGGTACATGGGAAGCCGAGGAGAAAAGATTTTGGGGGTTCAAAGAAAGAGGAAGACGGTCTCAGGCGTCCTTCTGAACAAAAAACTAGACCTCAGCTTACCTTGAGAGCACAAGAGACTTCTTTCCCAACTCATCTAACCTCAGTCCCAACCAGCGAGAAGCAAGTGGCATCTCTGGAGCCAGCTCTGAAATACTGGAGGGTGTCTGCTCCTCTCTCCCTACTGTGAGCTGCCTCTGGGGGTCCAGACAACTGAATTCACATCTTAAACCTGAAACAGGGGCTCTGTGCCCCACTGACTGCCAGGTTTCTGTCACGGACCCGAAAGAAGTCCTCAAACAGCATCTCCTCCTGATTTTTTTTCTACGACGTGGTATTGAAAAGATTTGCTGTTGGAGCAAACTTGCTCCTGATTTAATTGTTTAAAGTCCCTGGATCCCAGAGGGAGATATGGGAAATTACCTCATGTGGCTGAGAATAAAGCCATTCTCTTGCAAATACTTTATAGAATGAATTGTATTCATGATACAGAATACAAACAAGATTTCCACTTCGAAACTCCAAATATTTCATTTTGAACGAATTCTATAAAAGTTTAGCAGCTCCCCTTCTAAAGGGATTATTATTTAAATTTGAAAATAATTTTCACCCTATGTGTGTACCCTTGATCCCCTGAACAGCTCTGTTGTTTTTTCCTAGGTGAGAACACCTAGTTTAAGAGGGAAATTGGTCATTTTGCCACACTTTTTATCTTAGTTAACTATCCATCACCGGTCACATTTTCAGTTAAGTTTGGATTTGAAGTTTCCATTTGAATGTGTTTGTAAAAAAAAAAAAAAAGCTTCAAGGCCATAAGCATTTTACTGCATTCTATGGAAAATACGGCCGGCCTAGTGGGACGCACTGATTTTCTTTAGCATTTTGATTATATGGGTCTGTGAGTTCAGATGAATCAAAGTAAAAATGAAACTCAGCAGGCGTGATGAAATCAAGCAAACCGCTGAAACGGCTGGGCAGAGCTCACAGAAATGGTTTCATTCTCCCAGACTGGGGGCTAGAACGCGGACCTAGCTGGAGAGACAGCTCACCAGGTTTGTCATTGCTCACCCCTCAAACAGACAAAGACATTTGCAACAGGAGATTGGGTTCCTTACACCGTAGCTTTGCACAGACTTCAGTAACTGGCACAGAGTCGGTTATTCTCTATAAGCAATAGGATAAATGCCCCACGCCACGCTTGGAATTATTAAATTGGAATTTATTCTCCTGGCATTCATGCCTTATTGGTAGCTGGATATGGGTGGCTCAGAGCAGTGGTGGAATAAGACCCCCATGCCATCTTTTAAATAATTTAATCAGCAATTGTCTCAGCGAGGAGACTGGAGTTGGGGACCTGCCCAGACTAGGTGCAGAGAAGATTGTCGGGGTCTTCTGTTCTGTCGTTCCTCCTGAGCCCCTCAGAGGTTGCAAGGATGCAGAGGAATTTGTTGTGTAAATGACATTCTAAAAGAAATATTTTGTTCATTTGTAAAACAGAAAAGGCTAATATTTACCATCCCCACCTCACTGGGTATGGTAAATACCCAAGGAAATCATGTGTGCAAACTAGAAAGTGCTCTGATATGGAGCCCTTTATCATTACTGTGTCCATGTGGAGCATTTTTTTAAAGATTTATTTATTGATACACATAAAAGCTGGGGCGTAGGCCAGAGGTGTGTATGTGTGGAGGGAGTGAGAGGAGTCCCCAGAGACAGAGTGGGGAGCAGAAGAGGTGGAGCTATTGAAATCCACTGCTGAGGGGAGCACTGGGGAAACAGGAGAGGTCTGCTGTGCCCTGTGGGCCAGCTCCTCGGTGGGGATCGAACTCAGGCCACAGTGGTTGGCCATAGCTTGACAGCACTAAGACTTAACCCCTGCACCACCAGGGAGGTCCATGTTGGAACATTCTTCAAGATAATCAGGCATTGAAACTGCTGGCTGCTCTCTGGCCATTCAAGAACTGGGGATAATATGCTCAGTTCTCAGAACAAAAGTATTTCACATAGTCAGGTATTGACTGTGCTTTTACCTCATGAGGTGTCAGGGAAAACATGGACGAAGAGGTCTTGCTGAAGTTGTAGCACTGGACATATGTCAAGACCAGGGGGGGTGTGGATAAATGAGCTGTTTAATTAACAGTTTCTAAAAATGTCTCCAGGAGCAAATGCCTGGGAAGAAAAAATATAGACCAACACTGCCCACCATCCTTTCCCTATCTTCTGTCTTTAAATATAACGTCTACGGGGCCTCCCTGGTGGTGCAACAGGTTAAAGCACAGCACTATGAAGCTAGCCACAGCCACCTCACAAGTTCGATCCCCACCAGGGAGGTGACCCACAGGGCATGGAAGACCTCTCCTGACCTGCCCACTGCTCCCCTCATCAGTGTACTTCCTCAGCCTGCCTGTTCTGCTCCCCACTCTGTCTCTGGTGAAGCCTCTCACTGCCCCTGCACCTCTGGCCAGTCTGTATGCACAAATAAATAAATGTTTAAAAATATATATAATGTCTGCTTGAAATTTACTAGCATTACTTTCTTGAACCTAAGTTGCAATCACTTTATATCACAAGACCTAACATTAATTACAAAACATTTTTTTGTACTGCATATTTTTTATGTGCATTTCTCAAAACATGGTTTCACCCTCTTATTCTCCATAGAAATTGGGAAAATTATATACACCCTCAATTCCTCCTGATTTATTAAAAGGAGGCCACCTAATACTAACCATATACTGTTAATATACTTCTCATACATAAGATATGAAATCTTCTTTTTAAGAATGGTAACAAAAGGTGCAAAAGTGGAATTTTTATAACTAATTGAATCACTAATTTAGTTAAGAGAATTCTAATTTACAATTCACTTCAGAAATAGAATTGATAAGTGAGAACCACTTTAACTTTCTATATTAATGAGTAATGATGACATACTAAAAATGATTCTTGTTAGACAATACAGGAAAAACCGCTTGTTATAGAGAGTGACATTTTGATCTGTCTCAAAATGTTTGTTCAAAATGAACATTTATTCTCATTTTATGTCAATGTGTTTTTCTCAACCATGTGAAATTAAATGTCTTATTGCACCTTTCTCTTAAGACTGGGCAAATGAGGTGTCATTGTTTAATAAATGCACAACAAAGATCCTTTCACCTGTTTCAGTTTTAAAGAATATTCATTTTTCTCTACGTTAGAAGGGAAACATCGGTGCAAACTCCATCTCTCTCTTGAAATCAGGAACATTTCACTGTTTACCTGCTGATAGCCTCAATGTACCAAGTAGTAAACAGATAAACACGCATCATTACATTCCTTAGCACAGCTAATTGAAGGCGCCGAGTAGCTCTGGTTCTCCCTTGATTAACACTCTATGCCGGCTCTGCTAGAGGCCTCCAGATCCAGGCACTAAAGCCTTAATGATCTCCCCAGGAGGAGCTGGGACATAGGGGGCATTCTCATTGCCACAGCAGAGGAATCGGAGGAGTTTACCTGAAGGCCCAGGGCAAGTCAGTTGCTCAGAGAACAGGTCTCCCGATGTCTAGCACACAATCAGAAAAGCACAGAATGCCCTAGGGAGCTGCTCGGTCACGTGTGCCTACGTGGAGAGGGAAAAGGCATTCCGGGTGCTCATTGTGGAACCCCCATAGCAACCTGCCACCATGCCTCGCTGACTGCGCATGAAACTCTGGGGGAGGACCAAACAACATAAAGCCCTAATGACGCCCTTAATTAGGTGGGCCCAGCATTCCAGCTCCCTGACCTCCCACCTCCAAGCTGGCAGCCCCAAATTCCTCTCTGTGGCACCAAAACCAGAAAGCAAGGCAGCTGTAATCTTCAGTTTACAAGGGACCATCAAGCTCTGATGAAGATGAAATTTGATAGCACTGATGTCAGACTTTGGATGGCCATAATCCAAGTTTACAATGATACATTGTCATGATGTGCCATTGTTATAATGACACATTAAGCCATAATGCTGCTATTTATATCACCATAAACATAGTTTATGGTGATATAAATAGTCCTGCTAATGGCATTAACAGTAGCACTCAGGGGATCCGCAGCTGCGGAGTGCTGTTTTCAAGCTATCAGCATGGCTATTTACGTCTCCATAAACTTCGTGTCACGCCTGTTATGTACGACCACCCAAGGCTGATGGACGGCCACGTCCCTTGCTCAAACGGAGGCCCCTGGACTGAAGACAGACCACGGCTGTCTCCCTCCCCTATGTGGGAATGCCCACCTCACCCTCCATGTGACTGTCGCGTGCTGTTTCTTTAGGAATTACAGGACAGCAACTCTGTTTCCCACCATTTTCTGCAATGTTGAAAACTATGTTTAAACACAAAAGAAAGTGCAAGACATAGCTGCTGGGCCAACTTACTGTCTCCTTGGCAGCGCAGGGGACCCACGCTCAGTTTGGCTTCTGAGCCTTGGCGGTCTGTATCTCCAACCACCACCTGGCTCACTGGCAGGTGATCTTTGTAGGACAAGAAGCCAGCGTCCTTCCTCCTGAAGCACAGGGAAAAACAGAAAAGGAACGGGAAGCTCGGTTAGAAACACATCTTTTCTAGTCATTGCTTGTCTATTGTGGCCACATTTCAGTGATATTCACACGGTCACTGTTTGGAAGCGCAGAGAAAGAACTGGTCTCTCTCTCCCAGTGGGTGACCTTGCTGGGCTTTGTTCACATGCATCTATGACATCTTCACCTTCTGGCAAACAGAGCTGACATCCTGACTTCCAGGGGCATCACCAATCTGCTGTGTACTATGCTAGGTTAGGAGTAGACAACCACGCAGTTTCAAACATCCCCCACGAAAGACTGAGCAGCAAGTGGGGTTGGCTGCTGTCATAGATCAAAAGTTCAACAAAGTTAACCCGATCTCTTGCATAATATATGAAACAAAACCCCATGATAAAAATCCTTTGTCTTTTTAATTGCTTTCAAGCAGTTGCTTCAGAGGTTTCTTCCCTGCTGTGCATCAACTAAATGGTGAACACTGTTTTGTTCCTTCACTTCTTTTTGTTTATTTTAACAACTCAAAGAACTTATGTGAAGTTCCCAACACAGAGCAGGTGCTCAAGAAGTGTCTATTTCCATCTATAATGAGGACTGGAGCTGAGGTTTAAGCCCAATTTGGTATTCCTTCTAGATTTCTGTTTGTATTTATCTTGTTTCAGGTCTCTTAAGTCTCTCCCACACTCAGCCTACATAAAAAAGAAGAGGCTGGTTTTGAAGTACTTATTCTAGGACAGAGAACAGGTATTCAGGAGACCTGTGGGGGTGCGCCAGGGGGGTTCATGCAGCACAGGGGTCACCATGATAGGATGTCATTGTCCCTTTGTCTTCTTTCCATGAGGCCAGGGCTGGAGGGTAGGAGGTACAAATCAATGCAAAGTCATCCCACAAATTTCCTCCCTCCACATGATTGTTGACACTGTGTAGTCTGAATCTAAATAACAATTTTGAAATTGTTAATACAACTGAGCAGAGACGATTAAACTGATTTTGGATGACAGAAGAATGAGAAAAATGCTGAATAACCAGGTTAAAGAGGTGTCATTTGCATCTCTTGGTAAATAATGCAGAGGACTGAGGAAACTGACTGGGAAGGCTGTGCTGGAATGAGCCATCACTGACCTCTGAATCTTTGGAGTGTGAGTGACTCTGACTTCCCACTGAACCCCAGGAAGGAGTCACAGTACTTAGCCACTGGGCATCAGGAAGTATATTTTACACTGCCTTAGTTATTTCATTGCTCTCAAGTCTCCAAAATAATTTCAAATTCATTAAACTGGAGCAAAGATTATACAGAAACGCATCTGACAACCTGGCCTCAAAGACCTCAGTAGAAGTTCTCAGAAATCCAACTTCTTCTACAAGCACTTCTTTTATTCATAACAGTTTTTGTTCATAAACAAAGTTTTTTTGAAATACAGCCAAATAAAAGAAAGATACTATGGTGCTTCTATACCACAGTGGGAAGCTGAGTGGTTGTGAGAGAGACCAGGTGACCCTGAAGTTTAATACATTTATTACATGGCCCTTCATGGAAAATATTTGCCAACTCTCGCTCCACCAGCATCAATTTTCCTTTGGGAATTTGTTGAGCATACACTTCATGGACTGTCATGGAGTGATGCCCAGTGACACTATTGTCACTCAGTGGTTTCCACAGTTGAGGGTGGACTTAGGGAAGGGCAGAAGAATATTCTGAGCTGGGGAAAGACATCATTTAAACATTCATTTATTTTTAATCTAACAATGAGAAATAGCAGCCTTCATGATTAATCAATTTTCTGATTGACTCTGCAAACATAGGTAGTGGGTTGCCCTGGGGACAAAAGGTCTCGATTCTGAAGGAATGTGGGTGTCCTATAGGTGTGGATGCTCTTGCCGTACAGCTGTCTGGCATCTCTAAGACAGTAAGGCCAGTTCTATCATCTACTGTCTCTGAGTAGGGCACTCTCCATGGTATCCTGTAATGAAATGAGCAATGGCCATGATCCCAAGCGTGCTGTTCAAGGAATCCCTATGTATGTCAGTAGATGCCTTCAAAGGAAGCCATTATTTTGACCATTAACATTAAACATTAGTTTTTTCTGTTCTTGACTTTTATCTCCACGGGCTCAGGATATCTTCATCTGTGCTTGGCTTCTTTTACTCAACCATATGTACTTAAGACTCATCTACGCTGCTCATCCAAAAAGTATTTCAAATTTAAAAATGATATTAATACAAAGGCAGTTCTATACATTGAGACTGAACATTGTCTTCTTGTCCTTTGGGTTGGTTCCAGTGTTTGGTTATTGTGAATAAAACTGTATGAACATTATTAACGAGTTACTGATAAGCAATTGTTTATGTTGGACATTTACCTCTAAGTAGAAATGCGAGTTGAAATGCTAATTTTAGTATATACTTTCATATATATATATATATATATATATATATATACACACACACACACACACACACATGAACTACTTTCTATATATACTACTTTCTATATATACTTTCTATATATACATATATATACATACACACATATACACACATATATGAACTACTTCATATATATGATAGATGTATATATCACATGTGCACACATATATCATATGTATACATCACATACATCACATATATACATATACACATATATCATATTTATACATCATACACACATATATCATATGTATGCATCATATATATGATATATGTATATATCATATATATTAAGTAGCTAATAATATATATGAAAGTAGTTCATATAAACTTATTTCCCTTACTACTTCTAAGAAAATATTAACTTCTATCACTTAAAGAAAAACTCATATTGAACATAAAATATTTATATCAAAACCTCTTATTATTTGTGTACTTATTTGTAAGTGTCTGTTCAAATTTTTTTAAACAATAGGGCAAGGGTAAAAAATATGAAGAACAATGCTCGAATTCACAGACAACACTAATAACAGTGGAGCTTCCATCACTGAGAAAGTAAATACAGGATTGTTATAGTATATGTAACATCCAATCTGAAATAAATTTTTCTTCATAGGCATCGTTATCCTCACTTTATTCATGAGAAGCTTGATAATCAGGACATTTAACTTGGTCAAAGTCACCAGGTCAGAAGTATACAGTCTGTAACTAAATCTAGAGGAAATAGATCTCAATTTACAACTTTCCATTGAAAAGAGGAGAGAAAACAAAACAGAAGAAAACCACAAAACCATTGCCCATTAAAAAGCCTTTCATTTTAACATTTACTTCTAGATGAGATATAAATGTGCCTGTTAAGATGCAGGTATTCTGAACTCTTGAGCTTATTTGAAAGTAGTAAATTCAAGGATATCTGTAGTTTCTTACTTATCATCTCCATCACAGGTGAGTAAGGAAAAAACAAATAGTTAACTTGCAACATATTTGTCATGGAAACAAATTTGAGAATGGAAATAAATTGGTTTGACCAGGACAAAGTGTCTATGCTAAAGCACAACTGCTAACAAAAAGCGACATGTGGACAAGATTAAAATCTGCTGGAACCAGAGTGGCTCCCTCCCACATGCCCGTGATCACCATCTTAGCGTCTGTGTGGAAATTACTCAGCAAGGGACACAATCCTTCATGTGAAGTTATGATCTTTACAGATGGAGGTCAATCTAATTTAGGGGGATATTCAGTAACTATTTATCATGTTAGCATAATCTAATTACATCTGTTAGTGGGGTTGTCCCTTAGAAAACCTCGATCATCCATTTCAAATAGGCCATGAACTCTAAGTCTTGTGCAATCTTCCTATCAGCATTTTCACTAAAGTAAAATTTGATTTTATGGATTTGCTCCTTTAACCAGGCATTTCTGATATTTCACTTCAGTGCTATTTTCCTGAGCAGTTCTGTCTTACCCTGCTTTTCCCTTGCCTTCTTTTCTTATCCTGCTGAGAAAGGAAGAAAGCCTCTAGGCAGTTGGCTCAGTGAAAAAAGGAAAAAAAAGAAAAAAGAAAAAAACCTAAAGAAAAAAGTAGGTATTTCAAGTTTCTGCATTTGGGAACCTGCTCGTCTACCAGATGTTATGAAAGCTGTGGTACCATGTGTCTGTCCTCTGATTCTAGCAGAGAAGAATGACTTCTCTTTGAGAAGTTTTAGAAGTACTTGATTACTTGAAAACAAAGACTAAAAAACAAACCAACAACAAAAACCCACACACAAAAAAACAGAATTACAGCTAAGCTGTAACTTTCCTGCATTTCCCTCATGCCTAACTCACCTAAGGTAGAAATTTCTGAACAAATCCGGGAAGCAAAAGTTTTAGCTACAAAGGATGTCTCACAAAGAGATATGGAAGTGGGAAGTAGGCAGAAAAGATGATGCTTGATGTCATTAGTTGCCAGGAAATGCAATGAAAAGTCTACTGTGTCTCTATAAGAACATAATAACAATTAAAAGACCTGTAGGCCCTCCCTGGTGGTGCAGCGGGTTAAAGCACAGCACTAAGAAGCTTAAGCCACTTCCGCATGAGTTCAATCCCCGCCTGCCCCGGAGGTGACCCACATGGCGCTGCAGACCTCTCCTGACCCGTCCGCTGCTCCCCTCAGCAGTGTACTTTGTCCATCTGCCTGTTCTGCTCCCCACTCTGTCTCTGGTGAATCCTCTCACCCTCCCCATCTCTGGCCTGTACCCCAGTTCTATATGAATAAATAAATAAATCTTTAAAAAAAAAAAAAAAGACCGATAATAGCAAGTGCTGATGAGGGTTAGGGAGGAACTGGAATCATCAGAGGTTGCTGACAGGTGGTAAGTGTAGTCACCTCTGAAAGCAGGGTAGCAGTTTCATAAGAAAGCTACATACAGATTGACTGTAGGACCTGGTGATTCACTCCTGGATATCTACCCAAGAGAAAAGAAGGCAAGTGTTCACAAAAGCACTTTCAGGTTGATTTTCACAGTGGTTTTAATTATAATAGTCTCAAAGTGGAACCAGCCAGGTGTTCAACTAGACTCAT